TCTCTCTCCCTCCCCCCATCACTCCAGGGTTAGAAGGATGTAGACAGACCCACAGCAGACAATCAGGTGGTTCAAACTTGTTTTGTCTGAATAAAGAAAAACACATCAAACTGACAATATTTATGCCATGCAGAGTAAGCCTGATTGATAGGAGAGAAAGAACAGACGAAATACTAGAGATAAACCTCTATTGAACTTTTCCCCCTTTATTTTTATTCAGACATTGTCTCAAGTTTCCCGCGTTAATCTGAACTGAAAGTACCAACACAAATCATTGACAGACACCTAGCGCAACTTTAAAGCACTTCCGTTTAGCTTGCAAAAGGTGTAAGTTTGATTCCCATGTGGGGACATGACTAGAACAAGCCTCTCCTTTTGTTTGTTGAGAGTGTCCCACAGAGTCTTGTTGGACCTGGTAGGCAGAAAGAAAGCACTTCACTTATATTAGAATTTACCTGTGCCTTCCAGGAGTTAGCGATGTGAAACTGTTTTAGTTCACTTTGTTGAAAAGTAAAAGTAAGCATACTCGTTGTTTAACCGATTTTGAGGGTGGAATACTTTGATGCAGCCTATGCCCATCCAGATTCGACCTCCAGTGACCCCCGCGTAGTTTGAGGTTGAGTCCATGTTTTAGACTAAACGATGTAAAGCAACTTGAGTAGTTGGTACATACGGCTTCATTGGCGCTCATATGACTTTGTGCAGTTGCGAGCGCCGTAAAACCCACTACTATATATAACATATTTTAAAAACTGTGTCTGTCAGACGTTTGGCGTGTGACTGACGCCTGTGGTCCTTCACCTTCGCCACACATAGGCAAACAAATAGGCCTAGAGGCGGTGATTACCATTTTGTTAGTGATGTAGTCAGACACACTTCACCACACATTAGATACTCAGAAATGGAGTCGGAGAAACACAAATAATCTTTATTACTATTGTTGCTGTTCACAGCATCACATATAGGTTTACAGATTATAATAATATGTGAAGGGTGCTGACAAAATGAGTTACTTCTTGGATTCGAGACCTATGGAAATAGATACGTCACGCTTATAGCTGAAGTTTTTACAGTTTATAAATATGAAATAATAAAAGGCTTTTTATACTTAAAGAATACGGCATAAATAGAAAATCTACAAATGTGGCCCTTGTGTCGATTTTTGGCCAATATCTCCATTTGTGGATTGCGAGAAGTAACTCATTTTGTCAGCATGCCTCACATATTATGATGAGAACAGAGTGGAGTATACATTTAGGGTTTGCAATATATTTACAACAGTGAGACAAGTACTGTGATTCTGTGTTTGCTGATTTGTGACTGGCGATGATTGAACTACAAGGAAGAAGAAGAAATGAATGTGACGAGAGAGGGAGAGAGGGAGAGAGGGGAGAGAGAGAGAGAGAGAGAGAGAGAGAGAGAGAGAGAGAGAGAGAGAGAGAGAGAGAGAGAGAGAGAGAGAAGGGGGTACAGAAATAGAGGGAGGGGGGTATGTAGAGGGAAGACGTGAGAGTCACAAATAAAGAGGGATGTGAAGAGAGAGAGAGAGAAAGACAGAGAGGAGGGAGAGAGAGAGAGAGAGAGAGAGAGAGAGAGAGGGGGGGGGAGACAGACAGAGAGAGAGAGGGAGAGACAGAGAGAGAGAGATAGAGAGAGAGACAAAGGGAGAGACAGAGAGAGAGACAGAGAGAGAGACAGAGAGAGAGACAAAGAGAGTTCGGAACTTCTTGCCCAGGGGGATGGGGGTGTGGTGATGAGAGAGCTGGGACTGGGAACAGTAATATATACTGAAAAAAGACGGACTACTTACTGGGCGAATCTATAATTGGGGCTGCACTCATAATCTATCAGTTCTACTATTTATTTTAGTCTTTAGTGCGTACTTAAAAGAGACCTGTAAATAAATCCATGAGGCGAATCTAATGACCTAATAAGATAATAAGTGACCCTAATATCATGATCAACTTTGAAAACTAAAAGGCATCATAGACCTAATTGGAGCAGTAGTGTCTCATTTATATTAATATTTTTCTTAAGTAGAGGATCGGAATTTGAATTTCAGCATAGTTTGATCAAGAAAACCTCGATAGTTTGACATGTAAGTATTCAGACACTCTTAAACCCTACAAAGTTCTGTTAAAATC